GCTAATTAAATTAGATGTCCCTAAATTAGTATGCCTAATCACCGCATTTTTTGTAGTGTTATTTGGACTTGATGGCTTGTGGGTTGTGGCATTAGCTCCTTTTGAAGGTTGTCCATAGTTTGTCATTATTGATCTTGGTTTTGCTCTCTTTTTTCTTCTTTTTTGCACTTGATCAACTTTCTCTTGACTTCTTATTATTCTCAAAGCCCATCCATAACTTTGATATCTCATTAATTTTCTTGTGTGGTTCCATTATGCATCTTCAATCTTCATATATAGTTAATGTTTTTTGTTCTTGATCAAAGATATTTTATTTTGTTGTTGTCACTTTGTTAACATCAAAACATACGTGGTATCCACAAAGATGACTTGTCATATTGTATGAGACAACTAATTCAAGAGTCTGTCAAATTGGAGTTTATCTCAATTTCATAGCAATCATCTTCATTATGCAAGAATGATCATATTCTTGCTTGGAATCTTCTCCCAATTCTTCATCGTTTGATCATATTGAAGAGAGTGTTGCTTACAAATTTTCTTTATGTATATATTATTCTTTTGATATTGCTTTCATATTAATTTGCAAAGGGACATGTCCCGAGGAACTTTCCTTCTTCTTTTTTCCTTGGAGCTGGGGAGAAAGTGCATCGTTTTCTTCTGGTTCTTTAATTTTTCTTCAAGATATTTGAAATCATATTTGCTCTATGGGACTTTTGGTAGGGGAGATATTTTTTTTTACTAGAGAAATATAATTACTAGGAAAATAGTGAGAAAATAAATTTGGTAGGAAAATGAGAAAAAAGTTATTTGGTAGGACAAAAAATTACCAGAAAAATTAGTTTAAGTTTTCAAAATCTATGTTTAGTTGAAGATAAAATATTGGTGGAAAAATAGAATTCAATTACCACAACGCTCCCTTAGTTATTTGGTTTTTTTGACTATGATTGGGTCCCTTAGCAAAGAAAATAAAAGTCTTAACGTACTGCAGTATTTACAATGGCGCTCCATTTTAGAAAAAAGAAAGAGAAAAGAAACTCTGGTCATTTTAGTCATAGCAAATGACTCTCCGTTTTAGTTTCTCAGTTAAATCTCAAATACCACATTCCATGTGATTTTTTAAAACAATATTTTTCATCCATTTTTGCAAATGAATTGCACTAACTGGGGAAACAATTTAGCTGGTAAAATTTGTTAAACTCTTGTACCAAACATGATCAAATAGAAATATCAATGAAAATTGTCTGGTTATCTATATTAAAACTCTCTACCAAACACTTCCTAATTTTCATGCACAATATCTTTGTATAAGTACGAGTCAACATCTGTTGATGGGATTTATAAATATTTTGTAAGAGTCAACTAACTCCCAAAGAAACCCAATTTTTTAAATGTGATGGTATTTTAGGATTTAGCTATTTGTAATTATCATAAAATTCTATAACTTTATATGATAAAATCAATTTGACTATCCGTCCAACTAAAATCAATCAAGAAGCCATGTTGGAATTTCTAAATTAAGAGGATATAAAAAGGTAATGTACCATGAATGTCTGGGATTAAGTTCAAGTAGAGCTTTGTACTAAGCTTCTTGATAATCATAGTAATTGTAAGAATATGAACGATAGGGTTGGGAGAAAATATTAGCAGTGAGAGGGTTTTGATTGCAGTCCTTAAAAGACAGCTTTATTTATTTTTAATTTCGAGTAATTCATTTTGGAGCGATTGGTGGGAATCATCGTTAGGATTATTTCTATTGATTTTATGTTTATTAGGAGAACTAATAATTTTTATTTTTATTTTTCTTGAGACACAAGTATTTTGGAATCAAAACCCATCCTTTTGGTGAGAGTTTGATAATTAGTTGCTGAGGACTTAGTTTTGAGAATTCGGTTTTTTATTTTTTATTTTTTGCATCCCTCTTTATTCTTTAATGTGCGGTAATCAAAAGGTTTTTCCGTAGAAATTATGGAGACATGTCCAACAGAGTAAACTTACGAAAATTATCAGGGGTATTAAATTAAGGTGGATTTTTCTTAATTATTAATTATTGAGATGAACTTAAGGTAGAAGGCTTTGTCATTATCTTTTGAGAAGGAAGGGGTAAAGTCATCTAATGATAATGCTTTTCAACTTGGCTTTGATGAGATAGTGGGCCTCATCATAGGAAATTCTTGGATCCGTGCAAAAATTCTTTAGTTGAAAAATTATGAATGAAATTATTCTTTCTATAAAAATATAGATCTTTTACATTTTTTTTTCTAAAACTTCTTTGGTAGCTATGCAATCAATTCTCAAAAGAAGATTTTATTAATTATATTACCTTAAAATTTCATAATATATAGTACTATAGATAAAATCTCTTTTTTAAAAGTATTGTAATATAATTAGGGTCTGACTCATACTCCATAATAGAACTGAATTATTTGGACTTTGAGGAATTCAGGATTTTTTGTTTAAGAATGCCTCCAAAACAAATTTTAGAGGCACTAGTTTCAACAATCATAAAAGTTTTAGGATGAATTTAACCTATGATTTTACCTTAATTAGGACTTGAGTCATCTCTTCATCATAAGGGTTAGGATTTTTCCTAAGTCTTCTAAAATGTGGCTTACAAATGATTCTAAGGTCGAGAATAAAGTCTGACATGTAATTAAAAAATCCCAAAAATATTTGCAATGAGTTTTATTCTTTAATTAATATGTTTGGAAATCTATAAGTAAAAGCTACAATTCTATATTTCATGTCCTAAAATTCTTATATTTGTTAGAAATAGTTTCATCTGTTTTTGTTGATAAAACAATTTCATTGGCTTCAATTACTTTTTGAAATGCTTTTTATGCATATATATATTGATTTAGAGTGAATTGATATGCCGTTGATGCATGCTATAGCCAATTTGGTACATTTTTTAATCCCGTAAGCTTTACATTCCACTCTTTATACCCAATTGACATTGACACATTGTGGATGTTGTCTTATACTTATCCTTTGTACGAGACTTTCAACCCAAGCTAGGGGATTGATTGGTTGATGTCTAGAACGAGAAAGCGAGTAGTTGGAAAAGGAAACTAGAACTCTAATGTGATTAGTTAGAGGCAAGGTAGTTAAAAACTTGTTTTAAAATTGTGCTTTTACATTTTTATGATTTTTTTTTTCATCAAAATATTTTTATCAACATTTTAAGCGCTTCTGCTTTTTTATGAATTTTTTATTACAATTTTACATTTTACACTTTTTTTTATCCTCCTTTCACTTTTAGATAAAAAAATTGATTTTAACTACCTTGGTCATCACATATATAATGTATACCATGAAGAGAGGGTGGTGGTGTGTCACTAGCAAAGTGATCAAGTACTTAGACAGGATGCAATGGGTGAGTGAGGGTGCAAATGGAAAAATACTCCTTGCCTTGGGACAAAAGTGTAATGTGCAAAGGTGGTCACAAAAGAGATTCTAAAAAATGTAAGGTAGCAATTATTATTTGGCAAGTGAATGTGTGTGTAAGCCATGCCATGTGGACATTTTGTCACTTAGTTGACCACAACAATTTTTATTAGCAGATCATATATTTATCAAGGCAATTTTCCTTACCACTAACGTATACTTTAAAGTAAAACATCATAATTAACTTAAACTAATTGGAGTTCGCAATGGATGAACTTATATAAAAGAAAGGGTATATTAAGAAGAAAAAATATAAAAAGTTGAAATTGATTTTTTCTTAAAGAGGGAGAAAGTAGGAAAGAAAAAAAAAGAGAAGAAAAAAAAAAATTAACAGCACTCTTTTTATTCGTTATAGTTTTAAAAAAATTTTCCACTCTGTCTTAAAATAACCAGTATGTGGATTTATTTTCCTGTTTCTCTTACTAATTTTCAAAAGGAAGTTGGAAAACTTAGCTCCTGAACTCATATTTTGTCTTTTTCTTTTTTATTCTCATATCAATTTATATAGGCTATAAATATTTTTATATATGTGAAAATTTAATTAAATTTTTTTTTGCTAATGTTGCAAAAAAATTTTTTTACCACATTCATATAAAAATAAATGAAACATATTGTAAAGAGAAAAAAAATTAGTGAAACTCATTTAATTTTATTTAAATGTAGCAGACAAAAATTATTTGCAGTAAAAATAAAAATATTAAACATATAAAATTATATCATATACTATAAGAAACATCAAAGCAAGGGTCTTGTTTCTGTTTTTTCTGCCACATTTGAGTGGATCTATTAATTTTTTTTCTCCCTTCTCTTCTCTTCACGGAACAGTGATCAAAATGTTATGTTTTGTCAAATTTTTTATTTAAATACCACGCGAACAATGTTTTTTATCAGACTGTCATGTGTCATAGTTCGTTATCACTGGTAGCGAATTTCGTGGCCAATAATTATGACACGTCAGCTTTTTCCTACGAAAGTGTGTCACATGTCAAAAAATCATTCGCGAAGATAATATGCTACACAGGATAACTAATTACTACCTACTTGACATGTGTTATTTTTACCGTGCATTCTGATATGACATAATTTGAAAAAATTTATCAGCCGTGTCACAATGATTAATGTTCCTCTCTTTATAATAGTATCCATGAATTGCTGGTCCTCGCCCATTGGCCGTTTGTCAAAGAAAGCTTAACTTTTATTTTCTCTGTCGTTGTCTCGTGTGCTTTTGAATGCTTTATGGTCCAAACCAACAGATTTTGGTGACAGCCTTAAGATGAAAAGATTGACATACACATACAAAATACACAGAGAGAGAGAGAAGAAGAAGAAAAGTGTGATACAGATAGAGTGGCCTTAAGATCAAGGGACACAAGCTTTAAATGCGAGTTGGTTGATGGGAGTTTCATTTCATCTTCTATTCTTCTCTCTGCCATACGTACTAAGCATTCGTTAAAGGGAAAAAAAGAGCTCATTATCTTCATCTTCTTCTATATACTATTTTTTATACAAGTCTTCCTTAAACCCAAATCTCACGTAATAGAACAGAACCCCAATTTCTGAGATACCCGGATGGAGTTTGTGGCAAATCAATGCCCTTTTTTGGGTTCCTTGTGGAATTTCATTGAGAGGGTCAAACGGGTTGTTAGCCTCGCCGTCGCTGCCATCGTTGGGAACATCTTCTCTGCGATCTTGACCTTCTGCTTTGCATCAGGTTCGGTTCTTCTATGATCCTATTCTCATTTGCCCCACGCATTTCGTCAAATTCACGATCTGCTCATATGGGTTTATCCTGCAAATGCTTTCTGTTGAATTTTTCTTTGCCATTGTGGTGGTGTTATGCTATGTTATGTTATGTATGAGGTTGTCTTTGAATTTGTTGGCAATTATAATTTATTGTGCTTTCGCTTGAGGCACAAATGAACACGTTTGTTTTGTTTTTAGTGAAAAAATGATAACTTGGAAGTTGGTTTGTGTTGGACTGTTTTGCAATTTGCATATGTTTACATGTATTGTCTCATTTTTATAATCATCCAAAGTTGTGGTTCTTTTTGTTTAATTCCAAGTTGTGACATTTGGGTTTAATAAGGTGTGATGGATTGTTTGTTGGCAGTGGGAACTTTGTTGGGGGCTATGACTGGAGCCTTGATAGGGCAAGAGACAGAGAGTGGCTTCATTCGAGGGGCTGCTGTTGGTGCCATGTCAGGAGCTGTTTTCTCCATTGAAGTGTTTGAATCTTCTCTTATTCTTTGGCAATCTGATGCATCTGGAACTGAGTGTCTCTTATACTTGGTGAGTGACTCAGCTTTCAAGGCCTCGTCAAAATGGGATCTTTTATTGGTTGAATTGGTTTCCAAGCTTATTATATAGCTATACAGTTGCTGAATTCATTGCAGTCCCCCCTAAGATTTTATTGTTATTTTCACTGGCAAGTTGTGTGATCTAATAATTTTGAGTTATGCAGATTGATGTTATTGCTAGTTTACTCAGTGGGAGACTTGTGCGTGAAAGGATAGGTCCAGCCATGTTGAGTGCTGTCCAAAGTCAGGTAGTTTGATTTGTGCAATGCACTTGTTATAGTGATGAGACAGAAATTGGTTATGAACTTGCATTATCTTGCTTAGGTTCTTTGCTATTCCCTTTTCAGATGGTTGCTGTTGAAATGAGATTTGATGAGGTTCAAAACATCTTTGACACTGGCGGTGCAAAAGGTTTATCAGGAGATTCGGTTGAAAAGATCCCAATGATCACAATTACAAGTGACAACAATGTTGATGCTTTTGGTGAAAGAGTTTCATGTTCAGTTTGCCTCCAGGTTTGTTTATGATGTAGTTTTCCTTGTTAATACATGTGATTATGTATACCCTGAAATGATGTTTAGCTCTTTCTCTTTTTTTTTGGTGACAAAGGAGAGTTGTTAAGGTTATATTTATTTTGAAATTGACATTCTGAATTTGTACATTTCCAGGATTTTCAGCATGGAGAGACAGGTAGAAGCTTGCCTCATTGTCATCACATGTTTCACCTACCTTGCATTGATAAGTGGCTCATAAGGCATGGTTCTTGTCCATTATGCAGAAGGGATCTGTAATTTTGTATATGCAAAGCAGAAACTGTCAAAATAGGTTCTTTCATTGTTTATAAGCGCATTACTTTTAGGATCATATACTAGGAACTATCCCATGAGTGGCATCATTGTACTAAGTGAAAAGAAAATTTTGACATAAAACGGTTCCTTTCTTGTATGTGGCCAATTTTCACCTTGGAAGTCAAAAATAAAGAACATGAAACGGTAACCTAAGGAGCATCTAAGCAACTGTCCCAAGATTATTTTCTCTAATTTTAGAATTCAATTTTTAGAATTCGAACTCGAGACCTCTTAGCAAAGAAATAAATTCCTAATCACTTAAAGCAATGGTTATTGGTAAGGTCTTTTTTCTTTACAATATCTGTATAGAGGCATGGTTGTAGTGACTGGGCTTTAACATGGCATTTTCTCATTCTGAATATAAACATCCTTTTTAAAACTCTCATTTTAAGGTAATTTAAATTTTGACAATCTGGCGCAGGATATTCGAGATTATTTACATCATGAAACTGGGTCCATGAACTTGTTTTCATATTCATACAACTTTCTTTTCGTATTTTTCACTTAGACAATTTGTTCTTCACTTAAAACTCTACAACTTGTCTTAAATACACCATATAACGTGTGCTTCAGTATCACCAATAGAAAAAAATAAATATAAAAATTAATCTCAATATGAAAATGGGTACCCTCATTATTAAGAAAACAAGAAAAAGAGAAGGCCTAATATGAGTACCAAGCCCTCCTGGACAAATGGTCCTTATTAAAATGTACAACTCTAATGAATTCAGGGGTCCACGTGTTTCATCTAACCTAGGGAAAATTTTTAAGTGATTCAGATCTATGGTGATTCTTCTAGGCAAAAAAAATTAATTTAATATTTTTTAATAAATTAATTATGCATTTATAATAGTTTTTGAAAAAATTACATATTTATTGCACAATATTACATTCAATTTGGGCGTCACCAATCATGCCTAAATTGGGCGTCACTCAAGAGGCAATCACGCCTAATTTAGGCGTCACTTATCACGTCACACTTGTCATTTTTTTTTCTGAAAAAAAAAATTAACAATTTAATCGTAAAATTTCTTAAGACCATAACTTTTGACTCGGGTATCCAAATCAGGTAATTCTTTTTTTGATTCCACATAAATTTTCGAGATCTACGCAATGACATCTCATTTGACATATTTTATTTGCCACAAACACAATTTAAATTTGCAAGAATGATATTATAAGAGTAGTTAAACTCAGAAGCCTCTGAGTTCTGAGTTTGTGATTTAATATAAAAAATAAATAAAGATTTGGTTTGTGATTTAAATTAAAAATAAAAATTATTATTAAAAAGGAAAAAAAAATAAAGATTTGATTTGTGATTTAAACTCAAAAATTAATTTGAAAAATCTGTATTAATAAAAAAAATAATTAAATAAATATTCTAAATCTCTAGGCTTCTGAGTTTAAATCACAAATCAAATCTTTATTTATTTTTTTAAATTAAATCACAAACCCAAGACACATAGGCTTCTGGGTTTAACTGCTCTAATAATACCATTCTTGGAAATTTAAATTGTGTTTGTGAGAAATAAAATATGTCAAATAAAATGTCATTGCGTAGGTCTTGAAAATTTATCTAGAATCAAAAAAAGAATTACCTGATTTGGATACTCGAGTCATAACCCTTCAGTAGTTTTATGATTAAATTGTTAATTTTTATTTTTGGAAAAAAATGTAACACGTGTCAACACCTGATGAGTGACGCCTAAATTAGGCATGATTGGCTCTTGAGTGACGCCCAATTTAGGCATGATTGGTGACGCCCAAATTGAACGTGATATTGTGCAATAAATATGTAATTATTTTCAAAATTGTCATAAATTCGTAATTTTTTATTTAAAAAACAATAAATCAATTTTTTAGCCGATTCTTCCATTAAGAGATTGATACTCGAAGGAAATTTTTTTTCCTCTCTCTCTTCTCCGTCCCATTAAGTGGGATGTGTTTTGGAGCACAAAAATAAACCTCCTAATCTAAAGAGGTGGTGGAAAACAATTAGTTTTTATTTTGATTTATTTATTTATTTTGTAGAAATGTCATAGTAAACTTTATTTTTAATAGTGATGATATATATATATATATATATATGAATTAGTGTTTATCCTCCTAAAGGATATAAAGTTATGTCATGTTAAGTGAGAAAAAGAGATAGATAATAAAAATTATAGACGGAGGGAGTTGGAGTTTTTTTTTTAATTTAAATTTTAAATAAAAAATATTTTTTTAACTAAAAAAATCATTCTTTAAAAAGACAAAAATAGCATTGAAAATAAAATACTAAAATCAATATGTTATCCAATATTAGGAGTTTGTTTGTAAAAGTATCGTTGTCCTATTCATAATTATTAAACAGTAAGAGTAGACAAAATCCTGCCACATACATAAATAATGAGGAAGAGGGAAGAGGTCCACCACTAAGATGGGTTATCTCAGTTGAAAACCAAATCTTTTCTATGGAAAGGAAATTGAAGCATTTAATAAGGGTTTGAATATTTTTTTTATTTTTTGTTCTGTCAAAAAAAATAAAAAGTTTAAAACAACACGGACTTATTCTTCATCAGACAAAATCCTGAAGAGCAGTTGGATTCTATGGTCAGCAGGGGCAGATCTTGTAATGATTGGAGAGCATTGCTTATACAGAAAATTTTAAAACGAACTCGTGTGCGGTTAGGGACATTCTGATTATCAACCATCATCTCACTTAATAAAGAAAAATTACAAGAGTTTATTGCATTTAAAATGTGCACAATACATTTTATTCGGCTTATATGTGTTAAAAAATTCCATCACATAGAATTTTTTTTTTTTTTTTTAGTTTTCCAACCGATTCATCCTTTGATTAAGAGGCTATGAGACCTTATCATCTATGCCAAGAGTGTTTGGTTATTACATAGACTTATTTCATATAAAGAATAAATTATAATCCAACAATTTAAGTTAATAAGGGAAGGTCATCAATTATTGTCGATGAGGTTATTAAATAAATTAAAACAATAATTAATAATATTTATTAAATATTTAATAAAATATCAAAAATAATATCACTTGATTAATAATATTTTTTATTTTATTTAATAAAAACATATGGAGAGAAGGATGAAGTTAATAACTTTTAATTAAGTTTTTAATTTTCTAAGACGCGAAATAAATTGAAACAAAATAACTTTCATATAACGACAGGTATTTTTTTCTAAAAAATGAAAGAAATAATATTCAAAAATATTATCGGATAAGTGTCATTCAATATCTTCAAGAACATAAAAAAGTATTAATAATTTATTTAATTAATAATTTTAAATATTATTAAGAAAATATAAAATTACTTGATAAGATTATAAACTTATCGCTTATTCGGATTAGGATAAAATTACTTAATTTTATAATTCACTTAACACTTGTTTTAAATAATAATGTTATAATATTTATTATTTTTCACTAAACTATCTTAATCATTATTTAATATTTTTAATTCCTTAAGCTTATCCTAATAGAACATTATATCAATATCAGGACAAATTCGGCGTGATGTTGGGCTATTTGATCATTGTGCCCCTAATTGAATTAAAAAATACAACTTTGATTCCGTTCCAAAATATTTCATCTATTTGTTCCTGTTTGACTGTTGACTGAACTATGTACTCGAATATAGAACCCTTATACTCGAGTATATTGCGAGGAATATTAAATACTCGAGTACAGGAGCCTGATACTCGAGTATTATTAATCATTTGGATTTTTATGAATATTTACTAGAGTACATGACCCATATACTATATACTCGAGTATATGGTCCTGTACTTGAGTATATGGTGACCAAATCCCCTACAGGAATTTGTCAACACGTAGCTCTCAAAAAGTTATGTAAAATAAAAAAAACACATGATTCAGACACTCGAGTCAAAAGTTATAGCCTTCTAAAGTTTTACTGTAAAATTTCCAAAATTTTCAATTATTATTTTTAATTATTGAATGTCTAATAGACTTAAAGAGGCTAACAGGTGTAACACCTCGTATATTTAAAATATAATGTTAAATCCATAATTGAGGGTTAAGGGGAGGTTTGTTTAGAGAAAATCCTGAGTTTTAGGTCAAAATACCCATCAGGAACAAAATGGTAATTTGCCAAATATATAACCCTATATAGTGAAACTCTAGACTTGAGCATAATTTGAAGAAAATAACGATAGAAATGGATTCAGTACGATATTTGGAGTTGATAAGTATGATTTGGGAAATTTATGAATAGTGATTTTCACCAGGTAAAATATTGCGGTGTTATTTTACCGTAAACGTGAAAAGTCAAATTATGTTCAAGGAAGTAGAAATATGTTGAGTTTGGATTAAATTTATGAAATATGAATTTAGTGAAGATTGGTGGATTAAATGGATGGTTTAAGTGAGTTAAGTGACAAATGAGACCCACCTCTCACTTAAATGAGTTAAAACACGTGTAAATTAGTTTTTGCAACCCATTTCTCTCTCCTTGGCTGATCCTTTCCTCTTTCCCCAATCGTGAGTTGCCATTTTGAGTGCAAAGAAAGAGCTTCAAGTTCCATTCCATTTTCTAGACACTTTGAGACAAAACCTTGAACTACAAAGTTGTTCCTTACCCTCTTGTGAGTGAGTTTATTGGAGGCTTTTGTGGGTGGTTTAACTTGATTGGTTGCTTGAAGACCATTCTCTTGAACACTAGGAAGCTATTGGTGGTAAGTATTCCAACTTTCTTTGAGTTTTTATAAAGATCATAAAAGTGGATGAGTTTTTGATTATGTATATGAAGGTTGAGATAGTTGAGAGGAAAATGTTGTTGTCTTGTAGCTTGCATGAGTAATCAAGATTGGTATTGATCATATTATGGTATGATCGTGTAGGTTGCCTTTCACGGATCCTATTGTAGAGGATTGACGTTTGTGAGCTTTCTTGGGAAGCAAGGAAGTGGGACTTGGAGGAATCAACGTTAAGGTAAATACTGTGTCCTGGGGTTAGTCCCCTTGTTTGCTCCACCATGTCCATTGGAAATGGTTGGAAATTGTATTTTTTGATAATGTTTCATAAGGTATGCCTATGCATTTGAACATGTTGCATGTAATATGTATATTATTGTGAGCCTGATTGCTCATGTGGCCTGATTGCCTACTTCTCTGGCCAGTAGAAAGATTTGTTGGGGACTTCCACTGGATAGGGCTCCACGAGGGAGTTCCGGTTGGCGCTATGCCTTAGAGTAGTAAAAGCTCTAGGATGGTCCTGGGAGTTATATGACAGGTGATATGCCTCCAGCATATATATGATTTTAAGCCAAAAAAAGAAAGAATCTTGATCAATCATGAATAAAAAGGGCTATAACTGCTATTAAATTGATAAATCTCAATCAGATATTTTGTGAAAAAGGGACAAAAAGAAGCTCAAATTGGAAGCACAAGTCTGAAGCCCGCACTATTGGCGCGACACTGGCGCTAGTAGTGCCAAAAGAACTTCTTAAGACAGAACCTCCATGCTACTAGCGTGGCACTGGCGCTAGCCATTCATGCTAACCGCGATGTTAGCGCGGGAACCACGCTAGTAGCGCGAGCATGCTGTATGCTGAATAAAACTCCCATGCTAGTAGTGCAAAATTGGCGCTAGTAGCACAAAACTGGGGCTAGTTGCGCGAAACTGGCGCTAGTAGCGCAGGAGGCACGTGATAGTTTTAAATCCTATCTCAAACTGTATCAAAGGAGATTGAACCAAATACACGATGAAGATTTGATCAATATTTCTAAGCAAGGGCACATAATCTATAAATAGAGACTCAGACCCCCAGAAGACATAATCTTTGGCTTGAGAGAATCGTGAGCACAGAAAATTGAGAGAATTCTTGAAGACTCGCGCTGGAGATCAGGATTCCAACGGAGTTGAAGACCGAAGACCATTGATCTTCTATCTTCTTCTTCTTCTTTACTGCTTTTATGAACAATTTTTATTCTTTGAATTTGTTTAAGTAAGACATGAATATGTCTGACTAATTTCTTTTTGTAGTTGGGATCACGGACCCAATGTGAATCTTTTATATTTCCTATACTATTTTTACAAGTTAATTAGTTTAGTTTATTTTATTCTTCCTGTGTTAATTTTTCTATATCCTGATTAGAACTGATCACTCTAATTGTAAGGCTTTGAGGGTTATGGCTCACAATAGACATATTGAGGTTTTAATCTGGACAAGGATAAAATAACAATTTGTGCATGACCTAGTCATAGGCTTACATAGATTACAGACTTTTAATTCATTTGCTTAATGCTTAATTCGAGAGGGATTACTAGGACACTAGGATTCTAATTGGGTTAAAGGATTGAAATCACTAAGACATTAGGGTTCAACTAATTTATAGGGAAATAATGAATTGTCTGAGCAAACAAATTCGTTAATTATAAAATACAATATAGGAATATAAGGGAGGATCGGAGGTGAAGTGCATCATGGCTACCGTCTTTTTACAATTTTTAATCAATCTCATAACTTCTTGACGTTTTTGCTATTCTTGCATGCGTTTGAATTTAATTGCTTTTAAATTTCTGTTTTTAAATTACAATCTCAACTATTTCACAATCAACCTGAATTCTTTTCTTCCAATGAAAAAGGGAATAGTTAAAATTAATCATTGGTGCATTAATCCTCGTGGGACGATATCTTTACTTATCATTTTATTACTTAAAATGAACGGTATACTTGCCGATTTCGCTACAAGTTTTTGGCGTCGTTGCTTTGAATTAATTACGCCAATATTAGTTTTAACTTTCGATCTTTGATATTGGAATTTTTATTTTTTTTGTTACTAATTGATTTCTCTCTTTTATGCGAGGTAAAGTTGACCGAGACACTTTACAATTTTATCCAAAAATCGAGAAGGTTACAAAGAAAAATCGAAAATTAACCAAGCTAAGGAAGCAAGAGGAATCCTCGAGTTCAGAGCCAAAAACAGAACCCGAGATGGCAGCTCATAATCCACCGCCACCGGAGGAGGAATTGATGGAGTCAATTCTGGCTCCTCTTTTCACGCGGCCGAATTCAAACATCGTCAGACCACAAATCAAAGCCAACAACTTTGACATCCAATTGTCATTGATAGGATTGGTGGAGAAAACCCAGTTTGGTGGAGAAGATTATGAAGACCCCCATGCTTTCATGGACAGATTTCTAAGAATCTCTGACACTACCAAGCATCATGGGGTATCAGATGATGCAATTCGATTGAGGTTTTTTCCTTTTGCTGTAACAGGGAAAACTCTCAGATGGTTGGATAGGCAAGCTCCCAACAACATCAGAACGTGGGATGATCTGGCAGCCAAGTTTTTCGCAGAACACTTCTCCATGGAGCAAGAAAAAGAGGAAGAAACACCTGCAACCAAAGAGCCTGCGACAAAAGACAAAGACGAGGCAAAGGAGAAAGCTGCAGATATTTCAAAGAAGCAATGAGATTTCTCTCGCTTTGAGAAACCACCATATCCCATAAAGTCAAAGAAGTATGCACATAAGCAACAACATGTCAGGTTCTTAAAAATATTTAAAAAGTTGCAAATTAATATTCCCTTTGCAGAAGCTTTAGCTAACATGCCTAACTATGCTAAGTTTATGAAAGATCTTTTGTCTAGAAAGCATAAGTTGCAGGAATTTGAAACAGTGGCTCTCACAGAGGAGTGTAGTGCCATAATTCAGAAAAATTTCCCACCGAAGCTTCGAGATCCAGGGAGTTTCAACATCCCGATTGCGATAGGCAACATGAATGTTGGTCGGGCATTGTGCGTTCTTGGAGCAAGCATCAACCTCATGCCACTTTCCGTGATAAAGTCTCTCGGCATTTTCGAGCTGAAGCCTACGATGGTGTCTCTCCAACTTGCTGACAGAACGTTGCGAAGACCAAACGGAGTAATTGAAGACGTACTCGTCAAATTGGACAAGTTAATCTTCCCTGCTGACTTCGTAGTGCTCGATATGGAAGAAGAAGGAGACATGCCTCTTCTGTTGGGTAGGACGTTCCTTGCCACAACAAGAGCTATGATTGACGTGGAGAAAGGAAAGCTGGAGCTTAGAATGGATGACGAAAAGGTCACCATTAATGTGTTCGATGCAATGAAGCACGCTGAGGATAATAGTGACTGCTTCCGGGTGGACATTCTTGAAGGACTGTTCCATGAAAAGAAAGATGATTAGACTCTTGAAGAAGAGAAATAATTCTTTGATGAAAACCCTCCAAAGGAAGATGCTGAAATTCCAATGGAAGAATTGAAGAAGAAAAAGTCAGACATCATAGCTGAAGCACTAAAGGTGGAGTTAAAAGAGCTTTCACCTAATCTAAAATACGTCTTCTTAGGAGATGAAGAGACGTATCCTGTCATCATCAACAAGGAGTTATCTGAGACTGAAGAAGCCAAGTTAATGAAAGTGCTCAAAGACCATCAAACATCCATAGGGTGATCCATCTCCGATCTAAAAGGAATCAATCCTTCCTTCTGCACTCACAAAATACTGATGGAAGACAACATCAAACCAGTGAGACAGCCTCAGCGATGACTCAATCCTACTATGAAAGAGGTAGTTCGGAAGGAAGTAGTGAAACTCCTTGATGCCGGCATGATTTACCGATCTCAGACACTGCATGGGTATGTCCAGTCCAAACAGTGCCAAAGAAAGGCGAAGTCACAGTGATCAAGAATGAAAACAATGAATTGATTCCCACCAGAACCATAACTGGGTGGAGGATGTGTGTGGATTACAGAAGATTAAATGATGCCACACGAAAAGATCACTTCCCACTTCCCTTTATAGATCATATGCTAGAAAGACTGTCCGGACATGCATATTATTGCTTCCTAGACGGTTACTCCGGCTACAATCAGATACATGCTGCACCAGAGGATCAAGAGAAGACAACTTTCACTTGCCCCTTTGGAGTGTTTGCCTATAGAAGGATGTCATTCGGCCTCTGCAATGCACCCACTACTTTTCAAAGGTGCATGCTTTCCATCTTTTCTGATATGATTGAAAAATCATTAGAGGTATTTATGGATGACTTTTCTATTTTTGGTTCTTGCTTTGATTCATGCTTAGTTAATTTATCTAAAGTATTGAAGCGTTGTCAAGAAACAAACTTGGTTTTAAAATGGGAAAAATGTCATTTTATGGTAAAAGATGGAATAGTATTAGGCCATAAAATTTCTGAAAAAGGGATTGAAGTTGACAAAGCCAAATTGTTATTAATTGAAAAACTTCCCCCTCCTGCTAACGTTAATGGTGTTCGAAGCTTCTTAGGCCATGCAGGTTTTTACAGAAGATTCATCAAGGACTTCTCCAAGATTGCAAAGCCCTTGAGCCAACTCTTAGTGAAGGACACTGATTTCAAATTTGATGCAGAGTGTCTGAAGTCCTTTAATCTGTTGAAGGAAAAACTGACAACTGCGCCTTTCCTGATGGCGCCTGATTGGAATCTTCCGTTTGAGCTCATGTGTGATGCGAGCGCATATGCAATAGGAGCAGTACTCAGTCAGCGTAAGGATAAGCTATGGCATGTTATCTATTATGCTAGCAAAGTGTTAAATGAGGCACAAGTTAATTATGCCACATTTGAAAAAGAAATGCTAGCTGTAGTTTATGCATTAGATAAATTTAGACCTTACTTGATAGGATCTAAAATTATTGTTTTTACTGACCATGCTGCATTGAAGTATCTCATGAGTAAACAGGATGCAAAGCCACGGCTGCTGCGTTGTGTAAGAACCTGCACCGTTAATTCAGGAATTTAATTAATTAGTTATGAGATTAATGAAATAATTCCATAATTGACCCTAATAATTATGAGAAGGTTTAAATAATTATGGCAAGTGATTAATAATGTTGAAAGCCGCTTTTTCGACGAAAAGTGCAGATACCGGTTCTGCCTCACGGTATAAATGCGTACCGATGAAGTATCCCAAATTTTTTGAAAAGTGTGTATATATTACTAGAATAATATATAGGACTAGTATAACAAGTTTGGAATCAAAATAATGAGAACTGGCGTCAGAACTGATATCGGCTACGTAAAAGTGCATACCGGCAAAGTGCAGCGAAAAATAAAATAAAAATATGACAAATCCTAGAAAAATGACTAGGTTCAGAATCCAAAGTTTGGGATTAAAATACTAAGCGTAGCTATTAGCGCTAATACAATGCGATTAAAACTTAAACGACTATAAATAATGAATTGACACATAACCCTAGGCCATATTGTGTCTGCCTACGTGAGTTTTTCTAAAGGCTCAGCTGCTGCCACCTTCTCCCTTGGTCACCATAGCTTGAAAACCTCTCAAAATTCCACCTTTCTTGTTAATCTTCTTCATCTAAACACTTGGCTTAGTGTGGGTTAGCATTGTGAGGGAGTGGAGTGCCTCATTTCTGACTTTCAGCCACTGTCTTGGGCGGGTGTGGGCTGAGTACCTTGGCTTGAGTTGTTGAAGCCATTTTCTTGGTAGTTGGTACTCCAAGAAGCCATCTTTTGTGCAAAGGACCAAGTTTTGATCACTATTTTCGCGTACCTTTGGAGTCAGAATCTTGGAGCTGACTTGAGAGCTCCAAGAGCACTTGTGATTCTGTTTTGAAGCCTATGGATAAGAACCATCACCTTTGATCATGATTTTACTTGTTAAAAGAGGAGTCTTGGCATGTAAAATGAGTTGAATAGGTAACCAACAGGAACATGAACCTAAATGTGTATAAAAATGCATGCTTGGACATTAAAATGGGTTAAAGGTTGAGTCTTGTATGGATATCTTCGCGAAATGTAGAAACTGCATTATGTCGCGAAATATCCGTATATAATATCTGGATATTGATATCCGGATATAGAGCTTGTGATATCCGAATATGGATATCCGACTATGATATCCGGATATGGATATCCGGATATGCCCTCGACAAATATCCGGATATTCTAAGAATTTTGAGACAGAGACTGTTCTGTTTATACATAACTGTATATTTGGGTTTGTGGACCCATGATTGGTTATGTTGAACCTCTGTAATAATTAATCTAAGTCAGAATCAAAGGGATTAAGGGCTTATGGCTTTGGGAGAAGCCTAATGGCATGAAACGTAAAAGGAAACGTTGTCGTTATGTCATGAACTATCGGTGTATGTATATTGATATGATTACTGGTCTAAAACAGATTGTGATTGTGTTATTTGTGAACCTTGAGCTAGTATGGACTTGGCTTGGATAGATTGCTTAAGAGGTAAGCTTTAGCGTCCTCGATTTTGCCCATGTTTGGTTTCACTATACCTCATGGAGGGATGGTTTATATGCATGATGTGCCTTTCTGAAATGATGATTTATTGAAATTCTTTTGAGTTGTTAAGTGCAAATTCCTTATGATATGTATGTAGTGTTCCACCTAGACAGTAAGCCTGAGTATGTAGCACCATACAATATGGTGATTCTGTGGGCGGGTACAAGGAGCGCCTTATACTACTATGGGTTGTAGACGTATGTAATTCCTGCATTTTCTCTAGCCAGTAGGATATTGACACACATGACATGATATTATGCAGCATTGCACTGATTTTGGAACTTATACTGTTTTACTATTTTTAGAACTTATATTGCACATGTAAGTGAGCTTGGGGTGGAGAGATCTTTGAGGACCCCTTGTCTTACTGAGATTTCTGTTTAGAGATCTCACCCCACGTTTGGGGCACATTTTCAGGTTTAGGTACCTCGGGGGATGAGACCTCGGGCGGTAGGAGGCCGAAGCTAAGTTGAGATATTTGATGTTGTGCTGATATGCCTGGCTGTTATTTTGTTTTGTTGTCTTATATTGTTATATGATTTGAGACCATGTTGGGTTTTGTTGCCTTATTTGGTGAGCATGTGGGTTGTCCATGCCACATTGACTTGACCATGTTGATTTAGATTCGAGTTGTATAACGTATCAGGATTATGTTCCGGACTACGTGTTGTGGCTCTGTGATTTAGATACTCACTTATTTATGTAATGAGGTTATTCAGTGTAGTTAAATGTTTATTTGCAATTTACATACATGCGATGTTTTAAATGAAAAGATTGATTAATCAACTTGGTTAATAATAATGACGTCATAATTGAAAAGAAAAAGTTAGTTCCGTATTTTTATTAAGCCCTGCTTAATACGATGATATGATAACAATCGGGTATACACAGGGTGTTACACGTTGGATGCTTATCTTCCAGGAATTCGACTTGGAGATTCGAGACAAGAAGGGAGTTGAAAACAAAGTAGTTGATCACTTGTCAAGGATTCAAGACAAAGAATTGCAAGATGGTCCTGAAATTGAGATCAAAGAATCCTTCCCTGATGAACAAGTGATGGCAGTTCGCTTCGGACCATGGTTCACAGAATTTGCGAATTACAAAGCTGTAGGATCAATTCCTGAAGACCTCACATGGCAACAGAAAAAGAAGTTCTTGCATGATGCAAGGAGGTACCACTGGGATAACCCCTACTTATATTTTCAATGTACTGACGAGATTATTCGCAGGCGTGCAGCTGAGATGGAGATTTCGAAGAATCTTTAGCATTGCCATGCATCGGATTATGGAGGACACATTGGTGGAAATAGAACAGCGCAGAAGGTCTTGCAAAGTGGGTTCTACTGACCCACAATATTCAAAGACTCGAAGGAGTTCGTAGAGAAGAGTGGCAGATGCTAGAAGACGGAAAACATCTCCCGAAAGGATGAGATGCCCTTAAACTGCATACTGGTTGACTTTATGGGACCCTTCCCGATGTCATATTCCAACCAATACATCTTGGTTGCTGTGGACTACGTGTCCAAGTGGGTTGAAGCAGTGGCCCTACCGATAAATGATGCTAAGGTAGTCGTGTCCTTTCTGTGAAAGAACATCTTCACCCGATTCGGAGTTCCAAGAGCCATCATCAGTGATAGAAGAACCCACTTCTGCAACAAGCAATTTGAGAGTCTTCTCACGAAGTATGGAGTCACGCACAAAGTGGCTACACCATATCATCCTCAGACAAGTGGACAAGTGGAGATCTCTAACAGAGAGCTGAAGAGGATCTTGGAGAAGACTGTGGGCACACAAGAAAAGACTAGGCAAGGAAGCTTGATGATGCACTATGGGCATACCGAATAGCGTTCAAGACTCCTATAGGTATGTCACCATTCCAACAGGTGTACG